CAGAAAATGAAAATAGTAAGATGCCCAGAGTTTCTTAAAAACTTTTCAGAATCAAAAAATTCACCTAAAGTATAGTAAAATATATCCAGCATTTTTGAGTTGAGTCTTTAATTTACAGAATTTTGTGATAACGTCATCAACATTTTTGCAAAGACACTTGGATTGGTGCACTGTAATACTAAAAATAACAGTATTGTATACCCAAAATTTTCTGGGATTAAATTTCACAAGTTTTTACAAGATTAATAGGGGCAAAATCAGTTTTATCTTAACAAATACTAGGCCGCCCACCCACCCCCTATTTTCCCAGAGGATATGTGATTTGCCAAAATCAGTCTTATCTTACCAAGTACTAGCCCCGCCCACCCACCCTCTGTTTTATCAGAGGATATGTGATTTGCAAAAATTGTCTTATTTTACCAAGTACTAGCCCCGCCCACCCGCCCCCAATTTTTTCAGAGGATATGTCATTTGTCAAAATAAGACTTTGTTAGCAAGTACTAATTAAGATAATACTAATTTTGGCAAATCATATACTCTTTGAGAAAGTAGAGGGAGGATGGGCGGGGCTACTACTTGCTAAGATAAGACTGAACAATATGGACAGTCATTAGAATGAATAGGGTGGGCGGGGCTACTGCTTCCTAATAAGGCTCTTTAGATAAAAGTTAAACTCAGCCCCACCCACCTCTGTTCCGTATTTCGCTAACTTATTTCATTTACTGTGAAATGGGAGTTGAATTCTATTTTGACAAGTGGTAGGATGTAAGATTTAAAACTAAGTGGCCATGCCCACCCACCCCTATTTTCTCAGAGGATATGTCATTTGCCAAAATCAGTCTTATTTTACCAAGTACTAGGCCCCGCCCACCCGCCCCTATTTTCTCAGAGGATATGTGATTTGCAAAATCAGTCTTGTCTTACCAAATACTAGCTCCGCCCACCCGCTCTTTATTTTCTCAGAGGGTAGTACTTGCTAGTACTTGGTAAGATAAGTCTTATTTTGGAAAATAACATATCCTTTGAGAAAATGGCGGCGGGTGGGCGGGGCTAGTACTTGGTAAGATAAGACTGATTTTGGCAAATCACATATCTGAGAAAATAGCGGGCGGGTGGGCGGGGCTAGTACTTGCTAAGATAAGACTGAACAATACGGAGATTCACTAGAATGAATAGGGGGTAGGTGGGCGGGGCTACTATTTGCTAATAAGGTTCTTTAGATAAAAGCTAAACTCAGCCTCGCCCACCTCTTTTCCTTATTTCGCTGACTTCTTTTATTTACTGTAAAACGGGAGTTGAATTCTGTTTTGACAAGTGGTAGAATCTAAGATTTAAAACTGAGTAAAAAGTGGCCCCACCCACCCACCCCTATTTTCTCAGAAGATATGTCATTTGCCAAAATCAGTCTTATCTTACCAAGTATTGGGACCCACCCACCCGCCCCTATTTTCTCAGAGGATATGTTATTTACCAAAATCAGTCTTGTCTTACCAAATACTAGCCCCGCCCACCCGCTCTATATTTTCTCTAGTACTTGGTAAGATAAATCTTATTTTGGCAAATGATATATCCTTTGAGAAAATGGGGGCGGGTGGGCGGGGCTAGTACTTGGTGACATAAGACTGATTTTGGCAAATCACATATACTCTGGGAAAATAGAGGGTGGGTGGGCGGGGCTAGTACTTGGTAAGAAAAGACTGATTTTGGCAAATCACATTCTCTGAGAAAATAGGGGGCGGGTGGACGGGGCTAGAACTTGCTGAGATAAGACTGATTTTGACAAATAACATCCTCTGGGAAAATAGGGGGAGTGGGCGGAGCTAGTACTTGCTAAGATAAGACTGAACAATATGGACAGTCACTGGAATGAATAGGGGGCGGGTGGGCGGGGCTACTTCTTGCTAATAAGGTTCTTTAGATAAAAATTAAATTCAGCCCCGCCCACTTCTTTTCCCTATTTCCCTGACTTCTTTTATTTACCGTAAAATGGGAGTTGAATTCTATTTTGACAAATGGTAGAATCTAAGATTTAAAACTAAGTAAAACGTGGCCCCACCCACCCACCCCTGTTTTCTCATAGGATATGTCATTTGCCAAAATCAGTCTTATCTTACAAATTATAAGGCCCCGCCCACCCGCCCCTATTTTTTCAGAGGATATGTGATTTGTCAAAATACGACTTTGTTAGCAAGTACTAATTAAGATAATACTAATTTTGGCAAATTATATGCTCTTTAAGAAAATAGAGGGATGGTGGGCGGGCCTACTGCTTGCTAAGATAAGATTGGGCAATATGGACAGTCACTAGAATGAATAGGGGGTAGGTGGGCGGGGCTACTGCTTGTTAATAAGGCTCTTTAGATAAAAGTTAAACTCAGCCCCGCCTACTTCTTTTCCGTATTTCGCTAACTTATTTTATTTACTGTAAAATGAGAGTTGAATTCTATTTTGACAAGTGGTAGAATCTAAAATTTAAAACAAACTAAAACGTGGCCCCACCCACCCACCCCTATTTTCTCATAGGATATGTCATCTGCCAAAATCAGTCTTATCTTACAAAGCACTAGGCCCCGCCCACCCGCCCCTATTTTCTCAGAGGATATGTGATTTGTCAAAATCAGTCTTGTCTTACCAAGTACTAACCCCGCCCATCTGCCCTTTATTTTCTCAGAAGGTGGTACTTGCTAGTATTTGGTAAGATAAGTCTTATTTTGGCAAATGACATATCCTTTGAGAAAATGGGGGCGGGTGGGCGGGGCTAGTACTTGGTAAGATAAGACTGATTTTGGAAAATCACATATTCTCTGAGAAAATAGGGGGCGGGTGGGCGGAGCTAGTACTTGCTAAGATAAGACTGAACAATATGGAAAGTCACTAGAATGAGTAGGGGGTAGGTGGGCGGGGCTACTGCTTGCTAATAAGGCTCTTTAGATAAAAGTTAAACTCAGCTCCGCCCACCTCTTTTCCCTATTTCGCTGACTTATTTTGACAAGTGGTAGAATCTAAGATTTAAAACTAAGTAAAACATGGCCCCACCCACCCACCCCTGTTTTCTCATAGGATATGTAATTTGCCAAAATCAGTCTTATCCTACCAAGTACTAGGCCCCGCCCACCCGCCCCTATCTTCTCAGAGGATATGTGATTTGCCAAAATCAGTCATGTCTTACCAAGTACTAGCCCCGCCCACCCGCTGTTTATTTTCCCAGAGGGTAGTACTTGCTAGTACTTGGTAAGATAAGTCTTATTTTGACAAATGACATATCCTTTGATAAAATGGGGGCGTGTGGGCGGGGCTAGCACTTTGTAAGAAAAGACTGATTTTGGCAAATCACATATACTTCGGGAAAATAGGGGGCGGGTGGGCGGGGCTAGTATTTGGTAAGAAAAGACTGATTTTGGCAAATCACATATCTTCTGAGCAAATAGGGGGCGGGTGGGCGGGGCTACTACTTGCTAAGATAAGACTGATTTTGCCCCCATTAAGCTTGTAAAAATTTGTAAATTTCAAAGGTGTTAAATTGCATATTTCCATAGTAATGAGTTAAATTCCTAAATCTGATTGGATATTTATTTTTTAGCACTCAGTCATTAATTTTTCTGAGACAGCCTGTATAAGTAAATTAAAAAAATATTAATTATACGTATATTAAAAATAAAACACAAGTATAGACTTATCATATTGTGGACATTTAAAATTGGGCAATATTTTGAGGTGACGTCATCAATTTTTTAGGGGGATGACCAAATACATTTTGATAAAAAATTTACCATAATTATAACTTTAAAACATCTCCAAGATTTTGCAGTTCCTGGTTAAATCAATAAAATAAATTCACCCATTCATTAATTTTTTTGAGTCATATTTTGCACATTTTAAATAGGATTTATCCGGCAAAATTTTGAGTTGGCGTCATCAATTTTTTGGAAGGGATAAGCAAATATATCTTTATTAAAAATTGATTATGCTTCTGGGTAAAAACTCAACACGGAGTCATAAACTACATATTTTTCAAATCAGCACGTCGAGATCTATGTTCCAGAAAAAATTTGGTTTTCAAACCGAATTCCGAATATTTCGAAAATGTTGTTGTGGAGCAATAAAACAATAATTTACGAATTAGCCCCTTGAAATTTACATCTCTAATGTTTTTTTAGATATTTGATATTACTTTTTTATTTTATACTTTCCAAACACGTCAATTTTTCAATTAAATTTTTTAGCATTTTCAATCACCTTTGAAAATCGGTTTTTCGCTTCCAAAACTAAATTGTAAAATGTTATTATATATTATTTTTTTTCATACAAACACCTGGATATGAATGCTAAAAACCCATATTTCGTATTCATAAGCCACAAGTGGTGGAGTATATTATTTTATAAAATTTAAATATATTTTTTCGGCAAAATTATAGAATGGTAATTTCTGATAATATAAAATTTCACAACAATCCGGACAGATGGTAGACAGATAGAGAGAGGCAGACGGACAGACAGGCAGACAGACAGACAGACGGACGATTAAGCATTTAAGATTGAAAATAATAGACTTTTATTGTAATGGAGAAACCTGGATATTTCCAAAAATGGGAGCCAAATTCGCCAATGTAAAAATTGACAAGCCACCGACAAAATTATTAAAAAATATCTATATTAATCAAACCTTAATTACAAAATTCCAAACCCAAGTATCAGCTTGGGCATATCATAAACTACTTAATTAGCGGATTACAAGCCCAAATTATGAAGCTGACAAAGTTAAAAATGTATGGCTTCAAGCCCTAAGCAATTTTACTCTTCAAAAGTGAACCAATAGTATAAAACGCTGCGAAAACCTCATTTTTGATACCTGGAACAAGAACAAGTCCAACCTAAATCTTCAGGTGGACCTTCTCCTAATAACATTTTTTTTAACAATAGTTTCATTTTTATTTCAATTTCTGTTTTCGGTTTTGTTCAGAATTTGGAATTTCCAGTCAAATAAACCCCATCGAACATACCTGTTAGTCAAATTATTGCGCTCATCCTTATTCCTCAACGAGATAACACGTGACACAACATCCATATCAATAACGGAGGGCTGGTCGTGAATGGTGGCCGAATAGGGCGGAGGAACGGCGTCCTTCTCCAGGGTGCCGACGGGGGTATGCATCATTTATCTGGAAAAGCGAGCTTCATTTACAACTGATAGGGAAATTCGCCACGATAAAAATAATCGCGGTTACGTTTATCTAAATCGTCGCAGGTGTCGGCCGACCTTGTAGAAGAATAAAATTATTATCGAAAAAAGACCGGTCATGATCATTGTCGGGTTGGACTGTCGCCGGGCGTAGGTACGACATGGGGTTGTCGCCGGAGGGGCGCACTATGTTAATGTAAAGGGCAAGCTGCATTCATTTACGAAATTTTATGATTCGATCGATTGTGTAGACGGTGGATAGGAAGTTGGGGATGATGTTGCGAGGGGTGGCCGAGTGGCGACTTGGCAATATTGCTGGTTTTACGGAGGGTGAAGGGCTGGGGTGGACACGTGCACGTTTGTTAAATAATTTAGCGGTGTGTGATGGGACCGGCTACAAGAAATATAGCAATTTTTTCCTTTTTTCTATGACAAAGTAATATTATTATTATTATTATTATTATTATTATGGATCACAAACTGCAGCTTTTTTCATGTTCTAAGCTCGTCAAAGTAGTTCAAAAAACCAAAAAAATATGACAGAGAAATATCGTAAGAATTTTACTATTACTACAAATTCAAATATTTTTAATGTATATTTTGCGTTGTTAGTAATACAACTCCATTGTCATTGTTTAACACATATCAGCAGCTAAGGTTACTACTGATTCCAGAAAGGAAGTGTTTAATAAAAGCCGTATGTCCAGTAAGTTCAAGTTTCCATGTCAGGATTATCTGAAACATTTAAACCGTAATCGCAGTCAGGACAAACGTACTACATGTTTTAAATAAGTATATATTTTCACGAATACCCTGTCTGAAACAAGTTTGTTTTATAGACGAACAGGATTTTTTTTTTATTTTGCTGAACAATTTGCCATTTCCCTGATTAAATCAAAAAGTTTGGAAAATTCCAGAGCTATCAATTTTGCAATTTCAAAGTTACATCGTAAAATGTTGCCATATAATTTTGATTTTTTTTTCCAAAATGTTTCAATTTTTCGGCTTTGTAAGATTATTTTTCAGTTTTTCAATTTTCCAACTTTTAAATTTATCAATTTTTAGATTTTGCAATTTTTCGATCTGAGTTTCTCGAGTTTTCAATTTTTTTTTCAATTTTCCAATATTATAAGTTTTTGTGTTTTAAATTTTGATTTCCTCAATTTTTCGTTTCTTCACGTTTTCGATTTGCAACTTTTCATTTTTTAGTTTTTGGGTTTTCCAAATCTTTTTTTGATTTGCAATTTCACGAGTTTGTAATTTCTCAATTTTTCGTTTCGGTTTTTTATTTTCTTTATTTTTTCATATTTCGCTTTTTGAATGTTCAATGTAAAATTTTTCAATTTTTCGATGTTTCAACTTTTTGATTTTTTAATTTTTAGTTTTTCAGTTTTAGATTTTTCTTTCTTTTTTCAAATTAAATTAATAATAATGATTTTTAAAATGTTTCATTTTTTCGAATTTTACGTTCTTGGAATTCTTTTGATTTTTCAATTATTGAATTTTAAAACTTTTTATCAATTAGTCGATTTTCGAATTTTTCTATTTTTAATTTTTGAATTTCTCGATATTTAATTTTTCAATTTTCATATGATCTTTCAATGCTCCAGTTTTTCCGCTTTAGAATTTTGACGATTCCATAATTTTTCGATTTCACAATTTTTGGGTTTTCCAGTTTTTCGATCCATTATTTTTTTTTCGATTTTTAAGTTTCTCGAGTTTTAGTGTTTCAATATTTCAATTTTTCGTTTCTTCAGTTCTTCAAATTTTAATTTTTCGATTGGCACATTTTATAATTTTGTTTTAAATTTTGATTTCCTCAATTTTCGATTCGCGATTTTTCAATTTTTGATTTTTTTGTTAGTTCAAATTCTATATATTTTTTCTTTTTTTCTCTTTGTTTCCAATTTTTCGATTTGCGAATTTTCAATTTTTCATTTTTTGCTTCAATTTCATTCTAGTTTAAATTTTACAATTTTTCAGGTTTTTGAGTTTCGAACTTTTCCATGTTTCAATTTTTAGATTTTGCAACTTTTAGAATTTGCGATTTTACGATTTTTTAATTTTTCGATTTTCCAATTTTTCGTTTCAGTTTTCTATTTTCTTTTTTATGTTTTCAATTGTTCGTTTCTTCAAATTTTCGATTTGCAATTTTTAGATTTTTCTGCTATTTTTCTCATTTTAATGCATATTTTAAAAATTTTTACTTTTTCAAATTTTAGGATTTTAGAATTCTTTTGATTTTTCATTTAGTCAATTTTGCAATGTTTCTGTTTTATAATTTTTGGTGTTTTAAATTTTGATTTTCTCAGTTTTTCGTTTCTTCAATTTTTCGATTTCCGATTTTTAAATTTTTCATTTTTTATTCCTCCAAATTCTAGATTTTGCAATTTTTCCTTTCGATTTTTTATTTTATTTTTTTGTGTTTTCAATTTTTCGTTTCTTCAATTTTTCGATTTGTAATTTTTAATTTTTTTTTGTTTTTTCAATTTCACGATGTTTTAATTTTTCAATTTTCCAACTTTTGCATGTTTCAATTTTTTTATTTGCAATTTCACGAGTTTTAATGTTTCAATTTTATGATTTTTCAATTTTTCGTTTCGGTTTTCATTTTATTTATTTTTTCAATATTTCGGTGTTTCAATGTTCTGTTGTTATAATTTTTTCTTTTCAATGTCAATTTTTTCAATTTTTGGGTTTTTCAATTTTTCTTTTAACTTTTTGATTTTTTAATTTTTCGTTTTTTCAGTTATAGATGTTTCTGTTTCTATTTTTAATTTAAATATATGTATATAATAATTTTTAAAATGTTACACTTGTTCAAATTTTACAATTTTAGAATTGTTTGGATTTTTCGATTATCGTATTTTAAAAATTTTTGATTTAATCGATTTTTCAATTTTTAATTTTTCAGTTTCTCTATACATATTTAATTTTTCAATTTTTATATGATTTTTCGATATTACAGTTTATTCGCTTCAAATTTTGACGATTCATTGATTTTTTCGATTTTTAATATTCTCGATTTTGAATTTTTCAATGTTTCAATTTTTCGTTTTTTCAGTTCTTCGATTTTCCACGTTTTCGATTTTACAATTTTTCGCTTTTTCAGTTTTGCTATTTTTCAATTTTTTCCGATCTTTAGTTTTTCAATTTTTAATTTTTCGACTTGCAATTTCTCCGTTCGATTTTTGTTTTCTTTATTTTTTTTCAATTTTTCAATTTGATAATTTTTGTGTTTTAAATTTTGATTTTCTCAGTTTTTCGTTTCTTCAATTGCTGGATTCGCAATTTTTTAATTTTTAATTTTTTTTTCCTTGAAATTCTAGATTTTGCAATTTTTCGTTTCGGTTTTCTATTTTCTTTTTTTTATGTTTTCAATTCTTCGTTTCTTCAAATTTTCGATTTGCAATTTTTAGATTTTTCTGTTTCTTTTTGCATTTTAATGTATAATAATTTTACAAATGTTTTACTTTTTCTAATTTTAGGATTTTACAATTCTTTTGATTTTTCATTTATTTAAAACTTTTTCATTAAGTCAATTTTACAATGTTTCTGTTTTATAATTTTTGGTGTTTTAAATTTTGATTTTCTCAGTTTTTCGTTTCTTCAATTTTTCGTTTAGATTTTTTGTTTTATTTTTTTTTTGTTTTAAATTTTTCGTTTCTTCAATTTTTCGATTTGTAATTTTTCATTTTTTTCTGTTTTTTCAATTTCACGATCTTTTAATTTTTCAATTTTTCGGTTTTCCAACTTTTGGATGTTTCAATTTTTAGATATCGCAATTTTTTGATTTGCAATTTCACGAATTTTTATTTTCTTTATTTTTTCAATATTTCGGTGTTTCAATGTTCTGTTGTTAAAATATTTTCTTTTCAATGTGAAATTTTTCAATTTTTGGGTTTTTCAATTTTTTCTTTCAACTTTTTGATTTTTTAATTTTTCGTTTTTTCAGTTTTAGATGTTTGTTTGTATTTTTAATTTAAATATATGTATATAATAATTTTCAAAATGTTTCACTTTTTCAAATTTTACAATTTTAGGATTGTTTGGATTTTTCAATTATTGTATTTTAAAAATTTTTGATTTAATCGATTTTTCAATTTTTAATTTTTCAATTTCTCAATACATATTTAATTTTTCAATTTTTATATGATTTTTCGATGTTACAGTTTTTTCGCTTTACAATTTTGACGATTCATTGATTTTTTCGATTTTTAATATTCTCGATTTTTAATTTTTCAATGTTTCAATTTTTCGTTTCTTCAATTCTTCGATTTTCCACGTTTTCGATTTTTCAGTTTTGCGATTTTTCAATTTTTTCCGATCTTTAGTTTTTCAATTTTTAATTTTTCGACTTGCAATTTCTCGGTTCGGTTTTTGTTTTCTTTATTTTTTCAATTTTTCAATTTCATAATTTTTTGTGTTTTAAATTTCGATTTTCTCAGTGTTTCGTTTCTTCAATTGTTCGAGTCGCAATTTTTAAATTTTTCATTTTTTTGTCCCTTCAAATTCTAGATTTTGCAATTTTTCGTTTCGGTTTTTGTTTTTCTTTTTTATGTTTTCAATTCTTCGTTTCTTCAAATTTTCGATTTGCAATTTTTAGATTTTTCTGTTTCTTTTTTCATTTTAATGTATAATAATTTTAAAAATGTTTTACTTTTGCAATGTGTCTGTTTTATAATAGTTGATGTTTTAAATTTTGATTATCTCAGTTTTTCGTTTCTTCATTTTTCCGAATTCCGATTTTTAAATTTTTCATTGTTTATCCCTTCAAAACCTGGATTTTGCAGTTTTTCGTTTCGGTTTTTTGTTTTACTTTTTTTCGGTTTTCAATTTTTCGTTTCTTCAATTTTTCAATTTATAATTTTTCATTTTTTTTTTGTTTTTTCAATTTCACAATGTTTTAATTTTTCAATTTTTCGATTTTCCAACTTTTGGATGTTTCAATTTTCAGATATTGCAATTTTTTGATTTGCA